CCAACCATCTCCAATACCGGATAGCATTGCACGTCGTGGTAATCGGTGTTCAGGCATACGTAACACGTGGCCCAACCATCTCAGTCGATGAAGATTCATAACCTCATCAACTGATTTACCATCATTCCCTAATACCCTGCGTCTAACCTCACTATTACTTACCCGGTGATCCCAGCAGACGCCAGCAATATTTCTAAGGCATCTGTGGTCAAATACTAGTAGCTTACGAGTGTCTTCTACTCTTAATGGCCATGTTTCGCTGCCGTAAATTAAAACAGAACGGACTGCCGCGCAGTATACTCGTCCTTTTATTGATAGACGGATATCTCGCCTTCGCCATAGGTGACGTAAGTTGGCAAAAGCCAAACGAGCTTTTCGAATCCGTGCTGAGATTTCGTCAGACACCAACCCATTAGGGCTGATCAGACTTCCAAGATAAGTGAAGTTGTCAACGCGTTCGACTACTTCACTCCCTATCCTTAGTTCAGGTGTTGACGCAGACCAGTCCTGAAGCAACAACTTGCATTTAGAGGGAGAGAAGCGCATTCCAAACATTCTGGCATTGTTGCTTAGTGCTACCAGAAGACTCTGCATTTTGTCAGCGTCTTCACCAAACAGGACTATGTCATCTGCGTATTCTAAGTCGATAAGTGGACCTCCTGGATGGAGATCAATACCCGAGAATTCAGTCGACGAGAAAGTTATTTCCATCAATAGGTCTATGATGAAGTTAAACAAAAATGGAGAAAGTGGACAGCCTTGACGGACACCACTTGAGGTTGCAAAAGTAGATGACAGTTCGCCATAAGCTCTGACTCGACTAGTAGTGTTCGAGTAAAGAGCCTTCACAAGGTTTATGTACTTCTGAGGTACGCCTTTCAATGACAGACACTGCCACAGAATCTCGCGGTCTACAGAGTCAAATGCTGCTTTTAAGTCAAGAAAGACCACCATTGTCGGACGCCGATAAGTATGCCTGTGTTCTAGAACCTGACGAATGGTGAATATGTGGTCGATGCAGCCACGACCAGGTCTAAAGCCAGCTTGGTTCTCTCGTGTTTGCAGTTCACGAGTCTTAGTTAGGCGTCTGATAATTATCGAGGCTAGTATTTTAGATATTATATTAGTTAAACTAATCCCTCTGTGGTTGTCACAGGATGATTTTGACCCTTTCTTATATATTGGGACGATAAGTGATTGTGACCAGTCAGATGGGATAACGTCTAACTCCCAGATCTTAGCTAAAATATTAGTCAACCTAATCGCTAAAATTGGACCACCATCCTTAAAGACCTCTGGAGCCAGTCCATCTGGACCAGCTGCCCTTCCTCGTTTCAGATTAACTATAGCCTTTTGAACTTCAGCAAGAGTTGGGGGACCTACTTCAATGTTCCATTCACACTGTCTGGGAATGGAGGGTAGTTGTAGAGTAGCTGAAGGCCAGCTGAACTGTTCTCTGAAATGTTCCGCCCATCGTTCTAAACGTCTGGACTGGGAGCAGATGAGAGTATCGTCTTTTTCCGAAATAATCTCACTTACACTTGACTTATTAATTCCAGTTTCTTTTATTAGTCTGTAAAGCTGTCTTGTGTTCCCTATAGTCGCCGCCTTTTCCATCTCTTTTGCTTTCGTTGCCCACCACTGCTCACGGTCGTTCCTTAGACTTTTTCTTAACCTAGATCTGATTTGTTGTCGCTCTTCATCATGTTCGGAACCTGATGGGACGAGTTTGCGAGAATCCATCAGTGTGATAGACTTTGAAGAAATCCACTGGTTCTTTGTAACTCTGTGGTTTAAGTCACTAATAGATGTCACTGCTGTTTCCACAGCTGCTTGTATGTCTTTCCAAGCAACATCTGGGTCAGCCTCGTCTTCAGAACTACCTAAGTGTGACCTCAGTTGTTCCTGGAACCTACTTTTGGTTTTCTCGTTACTCAACTCAGTTCTAATGGGTCTTTTTAATGTGGCTTTTTTGCGTCCAGTGAGGCGCAAGCAGATGCGTGCCCGTATTAGGGCATGGTCGGAGTCCAAGCAGGTACTCCAGAATGAGCGACAATCTTCTACCGACCCTCTCCAACGATGACTGATGGCAATATGGTCTATTTGAGTCCATCGTTGGTTTGGTGTAGGGGGTCGCCATGTTAGACGATGTCTCTCCTTATGCTTAAAATTTGTGTTTGCTAAAAATAAACGATTGTCTGAGCACAGTTGCAGCAGACGATCACCATTATCTGTTCGCTGTGCGGGAATACTAAAATATCCACCTAAATGCCTTTCTGTTTGGTTTAAGCTACCTATCTGAGCATTAAAGTCACCCCTACGAGTACTATGTCTGAGCGTTTAGCTTTCTGAAGAAGTTCGGAAAGCTTTCTGTAAAATTCATCTTTCACTTCATCTGAGCTGCAGTCAGTGGGAGCGTAGGCAGAAACGACGAAAAGGCAACGACGTGTGTCCCTATCCTTCCGAGTTCTTACGTAGCCGTTTAGCCGAACAGCACATAGACGACTGTTGACGGGGATCCACTCTAGCAGTGCTTGTTCCGCCCTCATGCTTAGTGCTATGCCTACACCTGCCAGTCCACGAGAACTGGCCATCGGGTCACCAGATACACGGAGGGTGTATCTCGTTGGCTCTCCGTTTTGCCGAGGTGAGGTCAAGTGAATGACCACACTGGAATCCTGTATGCGTGTTTCGGAGACACAGCATACATCAATGGAAAGAGACTCTAGGGTTTTAGCCAAGGAAGCCTGCTGACCGATTTGACATAGGGTGCGTACGTTGAAGGCTCCAATGTGTAGTTTGGAGCGAGGTTTCAGTAGACCTGGGACAGAGTTTTGAGCACTAGAATCGTTGGCTATGGTGACACTTGAGGAGGAAGCCGAAAGAGGAAGTTTAGGGTTGAAAGTCGATGTAGGAGGAATAATAGGAATTGAAGAGGAGGTTGATTATGAATACAGTGGTCTTGAGTGCTGTTAGAGGTATGAGGGCGGTTATCACTTCCCGGTTGCCCACACCGTGGAAGGGTTCTTCTGGAGGTACCTGAAAAGGAAATTGGATTAGAGGTGGTCTCAGTGACCTGAGAGCGTGACCGCAGTGCCCAAGGGACAACTGCTTGAGGCCGGTCGCGCACGGCCTTTTCGTGGGAGGTTTTTGACGTGTTAGCTCCGTTCTTCAAAGGGCCTTACCGCCGGAGACGGAAATCCGTGAGGTAAGGTGAGGTGTGCATTTTTAGGGTCGACCTTTTCTAACCCCACCCCTCCTTGTGGGAAGGCAGCATCGCTGTCATGCTGGTTGTCTGAAGGAAACACCTTACTGCTGTCACACCTCTGTACAGTCAGCAGTACGACTTCGCCTTCGGACCTTGGGTTTGTTGCTTTTAGTCTTACCGCTCTTCAACCGACCTGTCTGACATGGTAGGACCTTGAGGAACGGTTGTTCCAGCCAGTATAGCTCGGTTGCTTCATCACGATAGGCAAGCCCGACCACCACGTCAAGGTAGCAACAACGGTCAATGTTCAATAAGATGAAACTAGCCTTGGTAATTTCTTTTTAAGTTCAGAAACCATTCTCAATTGTATTCAATTAATTTTTCATAATTACTTAAATAGTACATTCATTGACTACCTCGGTAAAAATTGGTCCTGTCCACTTTTTGACTACCTCCTAACGGTACATGTATGTAGCACTATGTTTATAAGTCTGTGACCAAGATCAATATTATTGCAGTTTTTAGATAAGAAAATCATTGACTATTGAATTTCAGATTAATGATCGAATGAAATCAAACTTCTCTGCGAAACTTGAAGGCCTTAGGTTTATTATATACACAGCTGTGGATGTCCAATGCTGAAAAATACAAACTAGAGCAAAATAACCGGTTTTCTAATCAATGTTAGTTTACAACGAAAATCCTCAAAAAAAACATCAACGCTTACATCTGAATACATGAGGATATGTGTCCTGATTGCGGTGATTAAATCTTTTATTATATTCTTGAACAAATGAAATATTTTCTGGCCACTCGCTGAATAACTTAGGGACTTCGGATGTAAGAACTTTGCCAACTATATCATCTGATTTTCCACGACTGTGTAGCTGGAGAAGAAATCTCACACAGCACTCATGAAACCAAGGATTGTCACGTGAATTTGTAAGTTGCACACCACGAGAAATCCATTTGAGCATGAGGAGAAATTTTCCTGTTAAACATGAAAACAAAACGTAAGTTCATAATTTCAAAACTAAAGGTCATATACTGCTACTGTGTGCTACCGCAGTTCAACTAAATAAAGTGATTAGGAATAGAAATTCATTTGTTAAAGAATAGATTATCAATAAATTAGTCATAATCAACGTAGAGATTGGCACAGATGAGCGTTATCTCAAAAATGTCATAACACATTAGCACGATGAAATAAAGTTAACATGATGAACGCTGAAATAGTTAAAATAATTCTAGTAGTAACTATGATGAGGAACATTGTTCGAAAAGACATGAAAAGGCATGTATGTAGAAATACTGGAACTTAAGATAAATAGTGAATAGATCTAAGCCAGTGTGACCAAATCCAATCCATTTCATCAAATGTTTCCAACCACTGGTCACTTACCACTTACCCAACCAGGTAGTCTGAACGTAGCAACACGATTCAATTCAACAGCCAATGATTTCATAGAATGAGCCCACGTTTTGGATTATCAGTCTCTAGCTTTCTTGCAACCTACTCATCCACCAGCCCTCACCATGCGTCGGCATAGGTAAAATACGTTTCAACTGCCTCAGCTGGTGGACTCACAACCCCATTAACCGACTTGTATTCCTTACCTAATATCCCGCGCCTAACATTCGAAAGACTCGCTCAGTTGTTTTATCACACGTGAATAATATTTGGAAGACATGTATGATCAAAAGCCAGAGCTTATGTATACCTTTCATAGAGTAAAATCTATGTTTGGGTAGTATGTTCATCCTTTTATTGATACACGAAGATCTCACCTACACCACAAGTGATGCAAATTGATAAAGACCAAACGAGCTTTCTAACTCTGTGCTGAAATTTAGACACCAACGCATTGGGTTAATGAGACTTCTAAGATAACTGAAGTGGCCAGTGCACTCAACTACTTCACTCCTTATGATCACGTTGACAAAAATACACTGAAGATATGTAAATGATTTTAGTATTTAATGGTAACATACAAGAGTAACATTAGGCTCCTTGATATTTCATAACTAAACAACTAAGCATGGTTTTGATAAGTTCGATGCGAATGTTCGTAGGATTCTCCACATAATATAGCATGTCAAAATGATAGATTGTAGAGCATTTAGTAAATTTTAAACAGAAAAATGACTATTTAAATTCTTACTTACGCTTTCTCTCATAAACTTCAAAGGCCAAACAATAAGCCTCAATAATTTTAGGAGACAAATCCAACAAAGGGAGAAGAAATTTGGATGCCTCTTCAAGTGGATCCTCAGGCTATTTTATTGGGAGAAAAAATAACATTAAAAAATTTGAAATCAAAAACAGTTAGCAATTGTTAAGTTACATGAACTTGAGTCAAAATGTGACCAATAGTTTCGTAAACAATGAAGAACAATCAGACGTAAACTACATTTGGGAGAATGTAACCAATTTTTAATTTGTGCATTTATAGTCAGCTGGATGCCTTATATAATATATACACAAAAATTCTTTAAAGACCTTCGTATTTATGTATGTGACTATATCTTCAGAAAAAGACTTACTGATAAATCGGAGCTGTAAATCTCTGGCATCAAATAGTTCGGAAACGAAAACGGGTGACCATAGATAACACAAAATGATGATCATGACAAATTACAGTTCATCTGCAGTCGGAAAACATGAACTATGGAGACTTAACTCAAAATCTAGATGTTATCGTAGTCAAATCGGGTATGGATGTACTTGATTTGATTCTGCATAGCTTTGAATGCATGGACAACTGAAGACTCGAAATTTGGTAAATATTTCTAGCGTCCCTCTGGTTTTCAATTGTTATCCAATGGTAAACAGACTTAAGATTGACCACTTTTATACAGTTTATTAAACTGAAAAAGGCATTAACTAACAAGAACTTACGTTGACTGTTAAGACAAGTTGCTTAAAAATCTTAAAGTATTTGGGATAGTTAATTGTAGTTAATATCAGTCACACTGTCATTTCATGAGGCGAAAAAACGGAGGCAAGTGTGGCAGTTTATTGGTGAAAAACGGGAAAGAAACATAAATTGGCCATTCACGTACGCTAGCAAGTGATAGTACAGTTTAATCAGACAATATTTTGTGATTTGAATAGTAGATTAAATAAAAAATGAACAAAAGAACGACGGAATTACTTTTAATGTGTAACTTTAAAATATAGATATCCAGCTGAAGCACTGAAATCAGACATCGAAGCAACCACAAGCATGCTATACCTTCTATTCAAAAAGATTTGGGAGGAGGAACAAGTGCCAATGGACTGGAAAGAAGGACACCTCGTCAAGATTCGAAAGAAAGGAGATCTGAGCAAATGTGAAAACTACAGAGGAATCACACTGCTGTCAATACCAGGGAAAGTCTTCAACAGAGTGTTGCTGAACCGGATGAAGGATGCAGTAGACGCCCAACTTCGAGATCAACAAGCTGGATTCCGTAAGGATCGGTGGTGCACAGACCAAATTGCAACACTACGGATCATCGTCGAACAATCAGTTGAGTGGAACTCATCACTATACATCAACTTCATTGATTATGAAAAGGCATTCGACAGTGTAGATAGGAGGACATTATGGAAACTTCTTCGACACTACGGAGTTCCTCAGAAGATTGTCAACATTATCCGGAACTCATACGACGGACTACAGTGCAAAGTAGTGCATGGAGGACAGCTGACAGATGCATTCCAAGTAAGGACTGGAGTCAGACAAGGCTGTTTACTCTCTCCCTTCCTCTTTCTTCTGGTGGTCGGCTGGATTATGAAGACCTCAAAATCTGAAGGAAAACACGGAATACAACGGACAGCTCAGAATCAATTAGACGATTTGGACTTCGCAGACGACCTAGCCCTCCTATCACGTACACACGAACAGATGCAGATGAAGACAGCCAGTGTAGCAGCAGTCTCTGCATCAGTAGGCCTCAGCATACACAAAGGGAAAACCAAGGTCCTCAAATTCAAGGCGGAGAACAGCAATCCAATCACTCTTGATGGCGAATTTCTGGAAGATGTAGAGTCCTTCACATACCTGGGAAGCATCATCGATGAACAAGGAGGTTCAGATGCAGACGTAAAGGCGAGGATCGGCAAAGCAAGAGTCGCATTCCTACAATTGAAGAACATATGGAACTCAAAACAACTTTCAACCAATATCAAAGTGAGAATCTTCAATACGAACGTCAAGGCAGTTCTACTGTATGGAGCTGAAACTTGGAGAACTACAACAACCACAATCAAGAAAGTACAAGTATTTATAAATAGCTGTCTACGCAAGATACTCAACATCCATTGGCCAGATACCATCAGCAATAGCCTACTGTGGGAGAGAACAAACCAACTTCCAGCTGAAGAAGAAATTAGGAAAAGACGATGGAAATGGATAGGGCATACATTACGCAAATCGTCAAACTGCATCACGAGGCAAGCCCTAAATTGGAATCCTGAAGGGAAGCGAAAAAGAGGAAGGCCAAAGAACACATTGCGTCGGATAATAGAAGCAGATATGAAAAGGATGAATTACAACTGGACGGAGCTGGAAAGGATTGCCCAGGACAGGGTTGGATGGAGAATGCTGGTGAGTGGCCTATGCTCCTTCACGAGGAGTAACAGGCGTAAGTAAGTAAGTAAGTAAGTTTTTTAAGAGAATGCCATCAGTATCTACAAGCATGGTAAAATCTGACGCCAGAATTATAAGTCAAGAAACTTTCCAGTCAAGGATGAGACTAAGGTTTCCAATTTTATATAAAACTTATTAAAAACAGCAAATGTGTCAATCTACAAGCTAAAATGCTGGAACAGAATTTATGGGTTATTTCATAAGGCAAGCAATCTGTAAGTCAAGGTTGAGTATTGTCGCTAAAATGTAAATCCCATTTAATACAAAACAACTGACAAATACTTACTCTGGCCAGTAGATTAGCATCTAGGTCGTTTTCTCCCATGGATGGGTTATCTGCATTTGCTTCTTCGGATGCAGGCTGTCTTGAACGAGCTGCTTGTTCTCGACGTTCCTGTTCAGCTCGAGCCCGAGCAGCTTCCGCTTCCGCACGCTTAGCAGCTTTCCGTTGTTTATTTCGTAGCTTTTTAGCTTCAGATGAAGACATACCGTCTATTTTTACAAAATGATAAGACAATAACTGCGTGTCAATTTTATATGAAGTCAATTACATTCAGGAAATAAACTAAACTTACTTAAATACCGAACAACCTTTTATAGATTTATAGACACTGTTGTTTAAACTTGAGAAATGAGTGAAAAACATCCCAACGTTGATCTGAAATATTATTTACAGATAACAATCTAAACTAATAAAGGGTTGGTTGGTTTATTTCAACTGGATGTAAAATCCCATGCACTTGGTTTCCTTTATTTGAATAAAAAAAATCCCCAGTTGGATGTACCCAAACGGATCAACAAGCTCAATATATTCGCTATATGATGAGATAATAGAAAACAAGTCTTGAAGAGCTGAGCACTTGTGATACAAAGTATGTACAAATTTTTCCTGAATAGTCAAAAGATATATCTCATCATCAGAATTTTGCACGAGAAACTGATCTCAAGAAAGTAGGATAACTAAAAACGTAAGTACTACTGAAAAGGAGGAAATCATTTACATATGTTCATGTAGCAAGCAGTTCACTACGACTGGAGAACCCCACAAGCGAAAATTTCAATCCCGGAAATAAAGTGACAACGTTGAGAAAGAAGAGGGGTAGGTTTGCAAAAATCTTACAGGATACAACTAAAATGAAAATGTAACCTGAGTAGATCTCGTACGCAAATCTTGGAGTAAGATTTTTGGCTTAAAGTTACCTTAACGGAATAAACGAACAACCCAGTTTCCCACGCCACACTAACTACTTTGAGATTAAAATATGCATGAGAACCATTGGGCCAGCAAGTCAATCAATTTTATTGATAGTAGACTTCAATCAAAGGTGTAAGGAACCTGAAGTAATTCCACTGTTTGAGTAAAAACTTATACAACTTGTAAGCTATGGAGTAAAATACTAAGAAAATTGACAAAAAATAAAGTATCGTTTAACTTCCAATACATAAAAATAAAAGAATTTACTTTTTAGACAATATTTTACAAATAAGACACATTGGTCAGGATCATGATTATTTCCGTCGACCTGATCAACTATGTAATTTTTGCAGTACAAAAAACAATTATATGATAAACTGCATTAGATGTTTAGATGAGAATTGATGCGCTTGACCAGTCTGGCATAGCCGAATGGTAAGTTAGAGGTGCTGATTGGCGTACACTACTGGTCAAGATCTGGCTTCAATTTCCAAGGAAATAAACAAATTAAGGGTTGAAAATGTGGTCGTTTTTCCTGAGGGATATATTTATCTATACTTACGAATGAATTGTGCATATATTCTCTATTTGGTTGACCAATAAAATCTTCCTACTTACTCTTGGTTTTCCTATTCAGGTAGCTAGTACGGGTAAGTATACAAGAAGCATATATACCAGTATCAAACTCCGAAAACCGCAAAACGTAGTGTTTACCAGATACAGGAATAGAACTCGAACTGACGCGGGGAAATTCTAACCGTTGGTAACTAGAATACTGCAGAAACATGTCATCAATTTGTCTGGCCGAGAAATGCTCCTAAAAAGTGTGTACAATGTTTGTGTCTTATAGACAGTTGAAAGGACTTGAGCTAAGATTGCTAACAAGTACAACATACAAAACTCGTTTGTAAAAAAAGACCGACATTCGAAACAACAAATCAAGAGTTCTAACCATTTTCGCCGTGAGGAGATTCATCAATACTGTCCAATGGTTGAGAATACAATTGCAAGTAAATCTAGAAGGAAATCGAAAGTTGATAGAAGTGAAACTACAATGTAAGCAACAGAATTGATATTGAGATAGACAACGTTTACTAGAAGCAAATAAAAATAAATCAGTTGGATCGAGAGAAATCTGTCAAATTAAGAACATACTTTACGACCGTTCATTGCTTTACTATAAGATAGTTATTGCAAGTGTAAAAGCTCCGTGCATGTGCATGGGAAGAGGCCGCTGACTGAGTGAATTTGAAGTTGGGTACCACTTTTAAACAATTTGTGAACCAGCACTCTCTGGAGCAAATGAACCATATTTTATACACAATTTTATTGCCTGACATGTGATATTGGTTGGATGAGAATTACCTTTGACAGAAACCAGGTACGAGTGCATTTATTTACAAGGCTACTGAAAACTAGAATCGTACATGGAGATGTAAACTTCTTACATGATGTTATCAATATAGAAATAACTGGCTGCAAACCTTGTCAGAAATTGTTCTAAACAGTTCATAACGACGAAAACTTTTTGATCAAAATCTTAGTACTATTAGTTGACTGACATTTTTTGACTAGTTTGTTTCTCACTCCCATTGTCTTATTTTAGGGTCGACCTTTTATAATCCCTTCATTTTTTTTATGAGGTAGCACGGTTAGAGACGGTTATTTGTGCAAAACCTCATATCGTAATCACACCACAGTATAGTTAGCAGCACAACTCTGGCATCGAACTTTAGAACCCGACCGTTGTTGCTACCTTGACGTGGTGGTCGGGCTTGCCTATCGTGATGAAGCAACCGAGCTATACTGGCTGGAACAACCGTTCCTCAAGGTCCTACCATGTCAGACAGGTCGGTTGAAGAGCGGTAAGACTAAAAGCAACAAACCCAAGGTCCGAAGGCGAAGTCGTACTGCTGACTGTACAGAGGTGTGACAGCAGTAAGGTGTTTCCTTCAGACAACCAGCATGACAGCGATGCTGCCTTCCCACAAGGAGGGGTGGGGTTAGAAAAGGTCGACCCTAAAAATGCACACCTCACCTTACCTCACGGATTTCCGTCTCCGGCGGTAAGGCCCTTTGAAGAACGGAGCTAACACGTCAAAAACCTCCACGAAAAGGCCGTGCGCGACCGGCCTCAAGCAGTTGTCCCTTGGGCACTGCGGTCACGCTCTCAGGTCACTGAGACCACCTCTAATCCAATTTCCTTTTCAGGTACCTCCAGAAGAACCCTTCCACGGTGTGGGCAACCGGGAAGTGATAACCGCCCTCATACCTCTAACAGCACTCAAGACCACTGTATTCATAATCAACCTCCTCTTCAATTCCTATTATTCCTCCTACATCGACTTTCAACCCTAAACTTCCTCTTTCGGCTTCCTCCTCAAGTGTCACCATAGCCAACGATTCTAGTGCTCAAAACTCTGTCCCAGGTCTACTGAAACCTCGCTCCAAACTACACATTGGAGCCTTCAACGTACGCACCCTATGTCAAATCGGTCAGCAGGCTTCCTTGGCTAAAACCCTAGAGTCTCTTTCCATTGATGTATGCTGTGTCTCCGAAACACGCATACAGGATTCCAGTGTGGTCATTCACTTGACCTCACCTCGGCAAAACGGAGAGCCAACGAGATACACCCTCGTGTATCTGGTGACCCGATGGCCAGTTCTCGTGGACTGGCAGGTGTAGGCATAGCACTAAGCATGAGGGCGGAACAAGCACTGCTAGAGTGGATCCCCGTCAACAGTCGTCTATGTGCTGTTCGGCTAAACGGCTCCGTAAGAACTCGGAAGGATAGGGACACACGTCGTTGCCTTTTTGTCGTTTCTGCCTACGCTCCCACTGACTGCAGCTCAGATGAAGTGAAAGATGAATTTTACAGAAAGCTTCCTGAACTTCTTCAGAAAGCTAAACGCTCAGACATAGTACTCGTAGGGGTGACTTTAATGCTCAGATAGGTAGCTTAAACCAAACAGAAAGGCATTTAGGTGGATATTTTAGTATTCCGGCACAGCGAACAGATAATGGTGATCGTCTGCTGCAACTGTGCTCAGACAATCGTTTATTTTTAGCAAACACAAATTTTAAGCATAAGGAGAGACATCGTCTAACATGGCGACCCCCTACACCAAACCAACGATGGACTCAAATAGACCATATTGCCATCAGTCATCGTTGGAGAGGGTCGGTAGAAGATTGTCGCTCATTCTGGAGTACCTGCTTGGACTCCGACCATGCCCTAATACGGGCACGCATCTGCTTGCGCCTCACTGGACGCAAAAAAGCCACATTAAAAAGACCCATTAGAACTGAGTTGAGTAACGAGAAAACCAAAAGTAGGTTCCAGGAACAACTGAGGTCACACTTAGGTAGTTCTGAAGACGAGGCTGACCCAGATGTTGCTTGGAAAGACATACAAGCAGCTGTGGAAACAGCAGTGACATCTATTAGTGACTTAAACCACAGAGTTACAAAGAACCAGTGGATTTCTTCAAAGTCTATCACACTGATGGATTCTCGCAAACTCGTCCCATCAGGTTCCGAACATGATGAAGAGCGACAACAAATCAGATCTAGGTTAAGAAAAAGTCTAAGGAACGACCGTGAGCAGTGGTGGGCAACGAAAGCAAAAGAGATGGAAAAGGCGGCGACTATAGGGAACACAAGACAGCTTTACAGACTAATAAAAGAAACTGGAATTAATAAGTCAAGTGTAAGTGAGATTATTTCGGAAAAAGACGATACTCTCATCTGCTCCCAGTCCAGACGTTTAGAACGATGGGCGGAACATTTCAGAGAACAGTTCAGCTGGCCTTCAGCTACTCTACAACTACCCTCCATTCCCAGACAGTGTGAATGGAACATTGAAGTAGGTCCCCCAACTCTTGCTGAAGTTCAAAAGGCTATAGTTAATCTGAAACGAGGAAGGGCAGCTGGTCCAGATGGACTGGCTCCAGAGGTCTTTAAGGATGGTGGTCCAATTTTAGCGATTAGGTTGACTAATATTTTAGCTAAGATCTGGGAGTTAGACGTTATCCCATCTGACTGGTCACAATCACTTATCGTCCCAATATATAAGAAAGGGTCAAAATCATCCTGTGACAACCACAGAGGGATTAGTTTAACTAATATAATATCTAAAATACTAGCCTCGATAATTATCAGACGCCTAACTAAGACTCGTGAACTGCAAACACGAGAGAACCAAGCTGGCTTTAGACCTGGTCGTGGCTGCATCGACCACATATTCACCATTCGTCAGGTTCTAGAACACAGGCATACTTATCGGCGTCCGACAATGGTGGTCTTTCTTGACTTAAAAGCAGCATTTGACTCTGTAGACCGCGAGATTCTGTGGCAGTGTCTGTCATTGAAAGGCGTACCTCAGAAGTACATAAACCTTGTGAAGGCTCTTTACTCGAACACTACTAGTCGAGTCAGAGCTTATGGCGAACTGTCATCTACTTTTGCAACCTCAAGTGGTGTCCGTCAAGGCTGTCCACTTTCTCCATTTTTGTTTAACTTCATCATAGACCTATTGATGGAAATAACTTTCTCGTCGACTGAATTCTCGGGTATTGATCTCCATCCAGGAGGTCCACTTATCGACTTAGAATACGCAGATGACATAGTCCTGTTTGGTGAAGACGCTGACAAAATGCAGAGTCTTCTGGTAGCACTAAGCAACAATGCCAGAATGTTTGGAATGCGCTTCTCTCCCTCTAAATGCAAGTTGTTGCTTCAGGACTGGTCTGCGTCAACACCTGAACTAAGGATAGGGAGTGAAGTAGTCGAACGCGTTGACAACTTCACTTATCTTGGAAGTCTGATCAGCCCTAATGGGTTGGTGTCTGACGAAATCTCAGCACGGATTCGAAAAGCTCGTTTGGCTTTTGCCAACTTACGTCACCTTGGCGAAGGCGAGATATCCGTCTATCAATAAAAGGACGAGTATACTGCGCGGCAGTCCGTTCTGTTTTACTTTACGGCAGCGAAACATGGCCATTAAGAGTAGAAGACACTCGTAAGCTACTAGTATTTGACCACAGATGCCTTAGAAATATTGCTGGCGTCTGCTGGGATCACCGGGTAAGTAATAGTGAGGTTAGACGCAGGGTATTAGGGAATGATGGTAAATCAGTTGATGAGGTTATGAATCTTCATCGACTGAGATGGTTGGGCCACGTGTTACGTATGCCTGAACACCGATTACCACGACGTGCAATGCTATCCGGTATTGGAGATGGTTGGAAGAAAGTTAGGGGCGGCCAAACCAAAACGTGGCATCAGTGCTTGAAGTCACTAACTTCTAGTCTGAGCCATGTTGGTAGATGCAGACTACTTGGTTGGGGTCCGCGTGACTATCGTAACCAATGGTTGGAGACTCTTGGTGACATGGCTCAGAATCGATCACAATGGCGTCGGTGTATACACTCCCTGTCTTCCCTTAAACTAAGAGATTAAAATCGCTTCATATCTTTCTTTCTACGAACCAATTCTTTCTTCTTGTACTATATCTCTATATGCAATCTTCCTCTTATTTATTACCACCTTTGACCTAACCACTGCTATGAATCCGGTGTTCATCTTGTTGTGCTGATGCGGTATGGCAACCTGGACCGATGCACATATGTGCCTGGTCCTACGTTGTAGCTGACTGACTGACTGACAAACTTTAGATTATCTGTTTTCAGTTGCATTATCATCCAACCGACCACACTGCAATGGGAAATTTTTAGGAACAATTGTTTCAGACAATGTAGCTTGATTGAGTAGTCACGATAGGCAACCCGACCGCTAAATTAATGTAACAGCTACGGCCAACTTCTTTGCTATTCATCTCGTGGTGTTGATCTGATATGGGGACAACCCTAATTCCTCTAAGGCTCTATGTTGCGTATAACTGACTGAATTCAATAGAAATATTAAAATTATTTTGAAACGTCATATGATATGATGCCTAAGAAATAGGTCTGACAGACAGGTCTCAATTGTTTGAAGAACGAGTGACGCATGAGCTAATTTCATCCAATCGCATATAAAATGTTGTTTTTATTTTTTGTTTATATTCTTTAGGTAAGCATGTTATTTAATCTATTTTTCTGGGCTGATGGTAATCTCTGATTCCAAACTATTCGAGGGTTTATATCAATAATGTAGTCTTTTGAGTAGCCATCACTTGGATACATCAAATCAGTGAGTTCATCTATCGACTAGAGCTCTATTCATTGATTTTAACGACCTAAAACTTGATATCATCAATCATTGAAAACCTCCTCTATAACACCATGTTAATGAGCAAACCACAGTTGAAGACTAATAATGCAGCAATTGTATTGAGATTATTTTATTATAACTAGAATTAACAAAATGAATATAGCTATGCAAAATAGCAGATAAACGCCACAAAAGTCAACTTCAGCTGGATGAAATCCCGAAACAAAACTTTTTAACTCCATATTAGACATACTGATTCAAAAACACTACAGATGATTTATAAATTATACATGTGAATAATATATACATGTAAAGTATATATGCAATAGCTAAAAATAAAACACCTACAAGTAGTGAACTAACAGATACTGTAAGTATTATCTACACATCGAAAGTGAGACAACTTTCGGAAAAGCTTAAAGAACAGACACTTTAGACTCACTTCAACTGCAAGTTGAGCGGTATCAAAATAAGACTGATGATCCCGTAAACGATCTTCTAATCGCAGTGTCTCAACATATGATCGTAGCGTAACCTTCCGCAGACAGTAGGAATGAAAGTCTAACTGATCATCAAGAATATTTCTGTAGTGCTACCAGTTATTGATGATTTCATATGTAACAATCGAATAGATATAGATAAAAGTCAGTCAAGATAAGTATATATCAACGAATTAAATTAAAAATGGCATGAAATACTAAATTTTGAAACTTTACATCTTAAGTAAACAATAATTCTTATTTAAATAATCGTAGAGAAACATAAAGAAATAGTAGTCGATTCAGTCATTCACTACTATGGAAAAAATATCATCAATATATTTATTAATTCACAATTCCTGAACCGCCGTGTTTTTTATTTTGGTAATGAAACAGAAACAATCAATACGTGCTATTATTTCGAAGACACATGTGCAAGCACAATTCAGTAGTTTTTAACACAATCTTTGATACGTTGAACTTACAGTTGTCAGATATATCATTAAATGATGGCAGAAAAACTTAGAGAAATTCCAGATGAAAGCCATGGTATCCATCGATAGGGAAAGATGTGGTGCTGACTTCTTAGATATTTTGTATCGACATGGAGTTTTAAGGATTTCACACACTACATACATACATATTTTGAAGCAAATGACGATAAGATTCATTTACTACGATTAAAAATCAAAATAAAAAAGTGGGTAAATTAAGGCTACTTATCATTCGCCTAGTAGACTTCCAACAGCCTGCAAAAGACGATTTTGTGAACAAGGCTTTATAGTTCATCCATATATTCGAGTAATTTATTTGGATGGGTAAACTAGGCTTTAAACCTTATATCTATCCACTTCCAAAACGCCTGAAATCTTGCCACCAAAAAAACCTTTATTTATGTTTACTTATGGATACGCACTTAGTAACCGTCGTACGAAGTACCTGAACTTTGTGATTTTGCCTTTACTAGTAGTTTAACTCTAGAGAGTAGCATTTCAACACCTTTGAGACATCTTGAAACTTAAGTACAGACATCAAATCCATAATACGGAATTGTCACGGGGAAATTGATGTCTGACAGAAAAGTATCTTTTTGGATTGGTATATATTACTATTATATATACTACTATAATATTATGTCTTTGAAAGTGCTTCTAGTTTGATTCATGGGAATTTTTAAATAAATCGACACATTATATGATTGTAAACAGAGGAATCTTGAATGATCACACTATTGAGACAAGCACTGCATATTTAAATATGCATAGAATTTTTTTAATTTGTATAACTCAAATCTTTAACCGGTTTAAACATTTGTCTTCAGTGTGAAGTGGTTGTTTAAGTAAGAGATTAATTTTAGTTCACGCACGGTTGAAAATTTGTTATCAATACACTAGTCGACTAATGAATTTCGCAATTTTGAGCAATTCAGAATACCATTTGGTTTAATGTGAATCAGAATAAAATAATTGGCGAATTCTTGATAGCAAGAGTTCTTTATCTACAATGGAATATTTTCATTGATTTTTGAGCAGAACATGTATTCACATATAGGGAAGTTTAAATCTCACCCCAATTTCGTTATGGGAGTCCAGTAGTGATAAAAGCATTTAAACGGAAGTGCAATTAAAAATCGAATGTGCGTTGTAAAGAATCCTGAAACTTAGTTTAATTCAACTCGATAGGCAAGTAGGGATTTGTCCATCGAGGTTAAACCATTTAGATGATAACGAGTTTTACCAGATACATGGTTTATGACTAAATGTACAAATCTAAGTGACCATTAATTTACACTGTGAACACATTTACCCACGCTAGCCTATGAGTTTCGGCAACTGTTAACTGCACCTTATCGAACAATTTAATGCACCTAAATGACTTCATATGTAGTTCTTTGAGTATTTTCTCTAGTTCGCACAAAGACAGACTACATTACTTTCAAAATATTGTTTATGTAAAAACATAACCAATCACTTACTTGCTGCACTTCGTGACACAACTTAAGGGCATCACCAAATCTGCCCATTTCTTTAAGTGCTCTGGCATTATCTAACAGAAACCACATGCACTGCATCTCAGACAAGTATTCCTTTGGCGATGTGTTTCCCTATATTACAAATAAATAAGTTATAACAATATTACCCTTGTAAATTTAGAAGCCATGTTAGTGGCATCTTCAAGGCGATGAGCTTCCACCATGAATTTTGTACAGCGAGCATTAATAAAACGATCAGCTGTATCTAGAGATTGGGCTTCTTCCATCCACCGACTGGCTGTTATATTGTCCCCTGCATCATGAAAGACATCGGCTTTTAGGACATAAAAGTCAACTAACGTAGGTGTTGAGAGCAACTGAGAATCTATGATTTCAATGGCTTCCTGAAAAGTGAAATAATATTAATTACGAATTGTACCTGATATTTTCTTTTGAAATTATAATACTGAGCTAGTAAATAGTTAAGCCAAACATCTGTTGTGGGAGCTTCTTTTTCATTACTTTCCTGTGCATCAAGGGATCCGATGGCACTCATGCTGTTACGATATTTAGTTAAAAGACTTTCAAAAGCTGAAAGCTTTTCAGAGTCATTTAAAAGCCCCACAAGTTGTATGAAAAGTGGAGGAACACCTTTTCTGATGTATGGCTTTAGGTAAGCATCCAAACGCTGGAGAAACTCGTCACCTGCAACAAAATGTATGCATTTATCAAATCAAACCTGAACAATAATTCAGAATCAACCGTCTAGATAGACGGGATTGGGGGTAACGGGCAATAACTGACTCATAAGTTTTCTTCGTTGTTTCAGTATTTGCGTCTGTTATACCACTGACCAAAGCTGTATTTGCCTGTGCCAAAAGCTCAAGATATAAACTATTTTCCTGATTTCGATCAATTAAGCTCCATGAACACTCAACCGCTTCCTCATACTGTCCAAGTTTCAAGTGAAGTTGAGCTGAAAACAGATAACCAGAAAGTAGCAGCCTACCCTTCATTTCCAACAAAGATATTTTATCAACTATTTCGTTGCTATATTGATTTAGATGTTCTAAGGCAGCATTTTCTTTTCCAGCTTCAAGCATGATCATTGCTTGGTAGAGTAGTAGCTCACTGTGTTCGTAATCGAACTGAGGTATTTCACTTTGACCCTTTTTGAACTCATTGATGACTGTAAGAGCGATTTCATAGTTTCCCAGCAAATGGTGAATTAAAGCATAGCCAATCCATGATGCTTTTTGGCTAGGTCGCAGTAGAAGCAACTTGTAACGTATGTCCTGACAAAAGTTTCTTAGAAGGAAAATTAATAGTATACCCTGCATCCTTCATAATCTCTCAACTGCATTTGTAAAACTGAAAGATCCCTTAGCACTTGTAAATTTTCATTATCTAACTTTAAAGCTTGCAAGTAGCACTTTATCGCTTCTTCGTACTTATGGTCAGATTTATGAATAAGACCATAAATATGCCAACCTATCGTGATAACCCAAAGCACGGGAACTTACAAACAAAGCTGGTGATGTTGGCCTTTAAACCACGCTTTACATATTCCCTTGCTTCATCTTTCTTACCAAGACAATTTAATAAAATACCTTTCATCGCCAAAGTTTCTGAAAATAAATTGATCACATCCGCATTACCGGACAGAATGAACTTACCTCCATGTTCGCTAAATTTCGGATTGCTTAGGATTTGTTTAGCATACTTTAATCCATTTTTGTACTGCTTTTGGTCATAATATTTCTGTGAAACATGGATTAAGAGAAATAATATGCACTAACAACAACTCTCTTGAATATTGAGAGTTCTTTAGGAGGGAGAGTATAAGTAGATGCCTGTTTACTCATCGCTAAATATAACACATGAACTTTGATGCCAACTCAAATTGCGAGCTTGAACATTACGCGCTTCAAAAAACACTTGTGGTCACAATGAAAAGATGATTTAGATTAAAAATATTTTGACAAATTGTGTATAGGCAGTGAGGTACATAAAAACAACCGATTTATTCGGGTCCACCTTTAGTTAATCAGTCAACTTAGTGTCTTTCGTTGCGTAATTAAAATGTTTCGTTACACGTAGATATTATCAATAATATTCGAATTCATTCATTTGTTATCGTAAACACTTGATAGAAACTGATAAAAATATTTACAATACCATAGATCTTGCTGTAGCGGCGAATAAATCCCCAAAGTCGACATTGGATGCTTACCACATTAGTTTTAATGGACTCACCTAGCTGAAGGCGCTCGGTCATGCATTCGCACCAGATCACGAGTGGGAACGCCGAGCTCAACATCCTCTGCAGTCGCTAGCCAGATTAGATCAGTCGATCCTCAATTTATTGATAGCCTATCAAATATATCTTCGAACCTCCTCGCTTCTGTTTTTGATTTCACTTGGTGGTTATGATTCATAGTAGGTGTTACTGGTTAAAGCGTTGTCAAATTCCAAATACCCGTGGTGCCTTCACTGCTTATACTATCATAAAATGCGTTCGTGAAAGCAAATAAATGTTCAAAATAAATTGTTCTAAATGTCTTCAACATTAGTGATGTCCTCATTAATTAATTACCCCTTACTTTCTCCTTAAGCTTCTCTTCAGCCAGGTACTCACCACGTGAGTCTCGACAACTGGACTACATTTCGCAATTTACCTCACAGATCCAACACATTTCTGGAGCAAACAATGTAGTTGCAGACGCCTTATCTCGAATAACTTCCTTGAACAGTTTCCAAGGGATCGACATTCTGAAACTCGCCGAGCTTCAAAAAGAAGACACTGATCTTCAGCACGAGTTACCATCCACAACCCTCAAGTTACGTATCAAACAGATGGGAACAGGTAAGGAAACCTTACTGTGTGACACATCTACAGGTAGGGATCGCCCAATCGTGCCGAAACGTTATCGACGCAACGTCTTCACTACGTTTCACAAACTTTCTCATTCAGGTGTTCGTGCAACCATCAAACTTACAGCAAAACGGTTTTGCTGGCCTGGCATGAACAAAGATGTGAGAGAGTGGGCACGCTCCGGTGTAAGCTGCCAAAAATCTAAGGTTATCAGACATAATAAATGTCCCTTAGTCTCATTTAAAACTCCCGATGCTCGTTTCGACCATGTTCATCTGGATTTGGTAGGACCTTTACCAGATTCAAATGGATACTCTTACCTCTTAACCTACGTAGACCGTTTCACTCGATGGCCAGAAGCAGTACCTATCAAGGACATCACTGCTGAAACAGTGGCCCGCACCTTCGTCGAACGATGGGTAGCAAACTTCGGCTGCCCTTCAACCATCACTACAGACCGCGGACGACAGTTCGAATCCGAACTTTTCCGTCGTCTGACCACACTTTTAGGAATCACTTGCTTCCGAACGACCGCCTTTCATCCACAAGCAAACGGAATGGTAGAACGCTTTCACCGACGACTAAAAGTTTCACTATCAGCTGCAAGCATTTCTCAGTGGACCGACGCTCTTCCACTAATCTTACTAGGTATTCGCAATGCAGTTAAAGCTGACATTGGATACACTGCGGCTCAACTCGTTTATGGAACGACACTTCGACTTCCAGGAGAATTCGTGGATCCTTCGTCTTCTTCAATGAACATGGATCTAACCTCCTAAACGAACAGGCTTACGAACGCAATGCGTTCAGCTAAACCTGTTTCCACTCGACCTCCATCAACTGATGTTTTCGTTCAACCTGACTTACGACATAGTACACACGTTTTCGTACTTCAAGACTCGCATCGACGACCGTTCGAATCAGCATACGGAGGATATTTCAAAGTTCTTCAACATGAATTTAAGTACTATATGGTCGATAAGAACGGAACCAACGATAGCATCAGCATCGATCGCCTCAAAGCAGCGTATTTAGAAGGAAATGCCATCTACGTCGATTTTCCTTCGGTATAATCGCACGGCACGGCTCCGAGGATTATAATACGTCATCCAACAACCTCACATACGATGATACTTCGACAGTATCTGAAAATAAACTTAAAACAACTCGTTCCGGAAGAAGAGTAAGATTTCTAGAACATTTCAACGATTATTGCAAGTAAGGTATTAGTTGACATTTTATATCACCTCAATTTTTCCTTGTACTATATCTAATATAAAAAACTAATATTATTATGCTCATCTATTCATATTTATATTTCAAAAAACAACACAAAAAACCATTTTGTAGAAGTCCTTTTTAACGCTATTACGTGTGAATGAGTTTCTTTTTCTTTTTTCGCCCGCTTTGTGTTTTTTCACACGTACGAGCGTATTTCGACATGCACTTAAATATTTTTTTCTTTTCCTGGACGGCTGGAAAAGACAATAAAAGAACGATGAATTTTTTGAGTAAACTAAATTTTCATTGTACTGCAATTCCTTGTTACAATATTGTACGATACGGTCCGTTATAGTAAGGAAAGACGACCAAACGCTGCTAAACCTAGCAAGCTATCAGAAGAGTATTTACCAACGACAAAATCGTTGGGTTTAAACTCCTGGCTGGCCACGCCTTAGGGTCATCACTATCCCACTGTGGGGGTAGTGATCTGTGGCGGTAAATAAATCCCCAAAAGAAATAGCTCTGTAAGCTTTCGACGTTGGATACTGACCACATTGGTTTTAATGGACTCACTTAGCTGAAGGCGCTCGGTCATGCATTCGCACCAGATCACGAGTGGGAACGCCGAGCTCAACATCCTCTGCAGTCGCTAGCCAGATTAGATCAGTCGATCCTCAATTTATTGATAGCCTATCAAATATATCTTCGAACGAATTCATTTCTGACGTTAATTTGACTGAGTTGGTACAAACTGATTGTAAAAGTGTTGAGTATAAAGGCGTTGTAAAACTTTGAATACCTGTAGCACCTTTATTGATTTCAACAATTGGTTGCTCCATGTTCATTCATAAGGAGCCTGAAAATACGAAGTGTTTCCCCCCACAGACATAAATGGACCTAATTCGTTGTTCTCACCTTCGATGCTCACAGTTAAGTAACCACATTCTCCTTTTTGTAATATGGCTGAGTGTTTAGGCCGGTGTTGAATTGCTGCAGTTGTTTCATGTTTAGTTTTGATCTTAGATGTAGTAGCTGCAATTGATATGTTTTCGATTTACGGAGGGTGAGGGGATGGGACTTCAAGGTTTGTGATGTGGCCATCATTGTGACTGTTGCCGATGCACATACTGGGTTAGTTGGTTTGCATGTTTTTGACGATTTGACATTCTATGGATGTCCAGTCATGGTTGATTCTAATCTTCTTAAGTGTTTGATTGCGCCGAAGTAGTGGAATCACTAGGTATCTGTATGGCAATAAATCCTGAATATTTTGGGTGAAGTTACGTTCTATGTGACTGCTCTTGGAATTGTCAGTCATGAATGTATTCGAGTTTATACCACAACTGTTAAGGTCAACAGGGTCGCGCATTGATGTTTTGTCATTGGTTATTGGCTGACCTCAAACACTCATCAAATCCACAATCGGATATCCTATATAGTGCCTCACATTTTCCAAAGATTTTCATGATAAGTGACGCTTTCGAGTGGATTGCAAGAAGTACAGTAGCTAACGTAAATTAATTTATATTGCTACCAAATTTTCGGAATCAAAGGACGTTTATCCTACTTTGTTCTTCAGCGTTTCCTCCACCAACTATGACATGTTTCATCGTTACAATTCTCCACACACTGTTTTTTGTTCCCATGTTTTATCCGAAGTTTATTAATTGATAAGTTTGAGTTCAACCTGCTAATAGGCATACCTTAACCTCGCCCACTGCAAAAATAGAAAACTAGGTTTTATCAACCAAATTTTGTCGTTAATTTCACTGCTTTTTACTCTCTTTTTCCAGCGCCACGAATGTAACAGGCAAAGGTAGAATTCGGAGCAGATGTACCTTTACTAAAGTTTCAGCTTGTGCGATGTGACATTTCTAAACAGATTATATCGACCGTTAACTCATAGTAAAGTACTAACACATAAACCCATTTATTAATTGCCGGCTTATCCGCATGAATATTCTATCATAAATCCTCATTGACTTCATACATTTAATAACCGTACTTAGGTGATATCTTATCTGTAAACCAGTGTTGCAAATCGTTCATTATGCCTTTGATGATGGCACTTACCTGCTGTGATGTGTGTATGAGATACCTGCTGTGTATTATTATTAATCATAACATTAGTTATATTCTTATGTACTTAAATTTACCATCCTCTTTCCAAAACCAGTGTCTTATTACTTGTCAACCTAATGGAATAACTTACTGTAACAAATACTGTGTCACCTGTAATATTTCGAGCTTACCTGTAACCTATAGTTATTTCAGAATAAATTATTATTATATTTCATTATTTAACTTCGCTGAACAATAATTGGTTGAACAAATGAATTATAATACTTGTTTAGATAATATTCTGTGTTGGAATTAATAATCTTCAATCACCCAACCACTTTCTTGTGAACTTTTGCTGAGCAAGTGTGTGGGTGTCAGAGCCAACCTCCACAGTTACTCTGACTTGAAACTACATTGGCTCGGAAGCTAAAATTGTGTTAAAATGGAAATAGCACTCAAAACAGTGTATAAAGTAATTATTTGGAAGTAAAATATATCCAAGGCTGCATCGGACTGGTCTGATCTTCATTCTTTTGAAATGAATTTGAACTGTTCAGTGTGTCAGTTAGTCAGTGTATACCATTATGTGTAGGTAATTATACTAGTTGGATATGATTAACAGATAGGCAGATAAACATACTCAGTGCGCTCTGTCTCTGAGATAGACATGCAACCAAACAAAGTAATGTTGGAAAGATTCTTACATAAGACATTCTAATTAATCAGCCTATTAGGTACAAGATAGCCAGTGGGGTTAGCTTGGTGCGCTTGGTAGTCATGTGCTCTACCAGTTATCATACCCAGAAATGAGTAGACAACTATATTCATTTAACATATATGCTTCAAATATTATTCACTTTCAGTCCCTGAATGGTTTTAACTGCTTTTATGATTAGCGTTTATTAACAAGTTTGTTTTCCACAGTATGTGGTTGCTGAGTCCATGCTAAATCGCCTTTTTATTTGGGCTTGGGTCCGGCAGCAACCCTGGAGAAGCTACAGGCGGTTTGCAAAGTTAAGAGCGTCATTGTAAGTTAAGGTCTATAAACACAACGATCGAAGACTTTCATATAGATAATATTTTCCTCCGGAATCTTCAGGAATGAATTAGTTTGAAGTCGGCAGGCCACCTTCCATCCGTAACATGAAGCTTCGAATATAATAATACTTAAAAATTAGACAGCTCTGACAAATAGAGTCCTTAAACCTTTTTGAGAGAGATATGGCAATGCCTAGTCTGTTTGTTGACACCCTATCAAATGCTTTACTGAGGTCTATGTAGACAACATCCATTGATTTCCATTATCCAGAGCCTCTGTCCATTTTTCTCTCGCTATAAGTGGACTCGTTACGTAGGATAAACTTTTCTGAAACCATTTTGTGCGCTGTTTAACAATTTGTTGGTTTCCACAAATGTCATTATGATGTTTTTTTATTATTCTTCAGGTACTTTAACCGCAACAGTAGTGAGGCTGACAGGTTTGCAGTTTGGTGAAAGTTGTCCTGGTTTTGTTTTATGTATTGGGGTGACGATCGCATACTTCCAGTTCGTATGTCACACACCTTGATCACGTGACGTATTGAAGTTGTTGTCAATCGGACAGCAATATATTGTGTAATTAGTCTCAAGATTTTAGGTTGTAGTTCATCCCGTCCTGTCGATTTTTCTGTGTCTAATTCTGATGTGATACGGATGTTTCGCAGGTCTTCTCGATGAAAGTCCACAATGAGTAACGGATTTTGTGACTATATCTTGGTCTAGTTCTTCGTCTAAAAGGAAACTATCTCGAATTAGTTCACCATGGCCTCTTCTTTGTCCTTGCCTTCCTCTATCGTTTGAGATCCACTCCCTTCCGTAATTAGGTTGGTAATCCAACGACGAGTTCTTGTTCCGTAATTTGTGTACCAGAACAATTTCTTCAGCTGTCTGATTACTGATTGTACCAACTGCTTTCAAATTTTCCCTGAGCTGCCCAGATTGTTCTTGCACACCTAGATCGTGTCGACCTATAACGTTCCATAGCATTTTCCGTGCCAAGGCTGACGGCGACGTTCATATATTTTTTCTTTTGTCTTGTTAGGTGTCCAAAATCCCGGTTTATCCAGGAAATGGAGGTGGTCCTTCTTTCAAGGGTATGTAAAAGGTATAAGTTGTAGAGTCACATGATTGTGTAACTGCCATAAATCAGCCGATCGCTTTTCTACTGATGCACCTGAGTTAAGTTCCCAGTTTTTAGCCGGGGATGGGCCATGCAACTGCTTGAAAGGCCGTCTTAGTCATGAACATGAATAAGATGATAGCACGATCGCTTCTTCATTAATGTGGGAGGTAAGTTATTCGACTAACATCGTCACTGTGCGAAGACTATGTCCAATAACGACAAGACGTTTTGCAGGTCATATCTGATGGGATCTCTAATGTGCCGGAATAAAGCCAGGGCGATTGTGATTTTCTCGTGTCGAAGATACTCTTCGTTCTATTGATAGAAAAACTAGACTAGTAGTGAACAGGTCATCATCTAGATCGTGGGACAGTACCCAGTGGAGCGCGAGGTTATCTTTTCAAACACACGAAGCTCTTCATCATTTAATATAAAACAATAGGAAATATAATGTCAGAACAAAATAGGGAAGTGAATTAATACTTGAGCCATAAAGTTCTGACATTTATCTAGATATTTGCGTTCAACTCGTCCAATCAACCCAAGTTGTTATAGTTTTTGGTAATAAAACATTGTTCCTGGTAATCATGCTTCTGAGTTTCCTCAATTCATAGAGTGTATTGAAGTCATTGAAGGCTCTTACACGTGTGTCACCAATCTTTAAGTTTGTTTAGGAGAGAGCCATACACTACACATTCTGGACTGCGACATACCAAAACTAAATCAGCCAGTGGTGCACCAGTTCACATGCTCCTAAATCGTGCGACACAATCTCGACAACACGTATAGTTAAGGTACTTTTCATGTACAGGACAACCCAACCACCCTTAAGCTTTCATCTGTCAGCTCTTCAAGAGGGAGATTGATTATGAATACTGTAATCTTGAGTGGTGTTATAAGTGTGAGGTAGCTATCACTTCCTCGGTCGCCCATGTCGTGGGAGAGTTCTTCCCGAGGTACCTGAAAGCTGGGTTGGTTTATAGTTGGTTTTAGTGATCTGAGAGCGTGATTGCAATGCCAAAGGGACAAATGCGTAAGGTTGGTCATACATGACCGTCTTGTGAGTAATTTTTGTGCTGGCTCCGTACTTATAGGACTTTACTACCGGGACAGATATCTGTAGGATAAGGTGAGGAGAGCATTTTTAGGGTCGAATTTTCCTAACCCCACTACTTCTTTGTGGGAAGACAGCATTGCTGTTATGTTGGTTGTCTGAAGGAAAAAACTTACCGCCCTCACACCTCTATACAGTCAGCAGTACAACCTCGCCTTCGGCTTTGAGTTTGCTGCTTTTGATCTTACCACTCTTCAACCAACCTTGAGGAACGATTGTTCCGACCAGCATAACTCGATTTGTTGATTATGATAGACAAGCCCGACCACCATGTCAAGGTAACAGTAACGGTCGGGCAGCTCTAAAACGTAGGAAACCAGTCGATCAAATTCCACTGTCATACACTTCTGACATTAATTATGTTACTGCGATAGCAATGAAATCAGAGGTTTCTGTCTCCATCTGCTATTTTATTTACTAGTCTGCGAGAGTTTGTACAGCATACCCTTAATTTTGTGAACAACTTTTCGCAGCACCAATAGTGGTTTGAAGATCGCTTTACTCCGAAATTTTGCAATCTGGAGACCCTTAGGTTTAAGACTTTTCACTGTTTCGGTAGCTTTGATTTATTTCTATTTCCACCACGCTTCGCTTAATATGACCAACCATGATGAGATCCCTGCAGACATATATCTCGGATCCAGTCTGTTTGCTTAAAGCTTCCATTATCAGATTTCTTCTCCAGCAGAAACAAAAGTAACTTCTACGAGGCTTGCCTGTGTGCATTTGAAATCCTTTTTTGTCCTATTCTATAGAGCTTATGGGTGCTATCTCCTGCTACTGTCTCTGTAAGTGGCTTGCTTATAGGGGATTTATTGTAGCTTAGATCATGCCCATATCTAACCCCTAGTTTCTTTTCGAACGACTCATAACTTAGGAAGAATAACAGACTTCCAAGTGGATCCGTTACAACCGGAGCAAAATTTACAGCACGATCTAGTTATTAAATAAAAAAATACATTATAACATGAAAAATTCTATGAATACATGAACGTAGACATGACCGTTATTACGCTGGGCGATATATTAACTTTGCGTGGAAGCGTTGAGTATAAATCCACACCGTTTAGACAAACTTCGGTCCAGTTTGGCGCCAGACATACAGGTCTAACTCTGTTTCCTTATCCGGTGCTACTGAAAGCCAGTCATTGAACTCATTGTGTTTCTTGATCAAATCATCTATACCACTCAGACTTTGTCCTTTCATAAATCGCGCGTGTATGAGGCACAAATTTGTTTGGAATCGGACACAGTTTTGATTTGACCGCTTCTGCCAAAACTTGCAAGTTGTCGAGATGGAGCACCAATCGCTTTGTGACTGTTTGACCATATGGTGCTCAGCGACCTCCATCAATGACCAAGGCCACCGGTTCGTTGTATACTGTGTATAATCATATGACTAGAAGCTTTTGGTCTCGACATTGTACTTGCTAGTGTTTGCGCCTATAGGATTTAATTTTACTTAATAATTCCCCCAAACATCAGCATTAATGCAACAACCAACTATTTTAAGAATTGCCATCGTTGGATCTGGTGGGGTTGGCAAGAGTTCTCTAACTCTCCAGTTTGTGTATAGTGAGGTGATTTATTTGGCATACTTTTTACATTTTTATTTTTTCTTTAGTTTCTTCAGGACTATGAACCAACAAAAGCTAATTCGTACAGGAGAAAAATGACGTTGGATGGGGTGCCACTACAATTTGATATTCTAGATACTGCAGGTAAAGGATATTTGTGTTCTCAAAATATTCTTAGGTTATTTTTATTGCTGTCTTAACATTTTAAGAGTACTTCCTGAGTCTCCAATGTTTGGTACTTTTCTTTCACAATATATTCAGCATATTCCTCCAATTTCTTTGTATCCTATAACACAATCAGATGAAATGATTCATGCTTTTAGAACTGCTACTCATCTCAAACTAGTATGCACTATGAACACAAATATTCATAAATTCCAATCACATGTAACCAAACACTAGTGTATAGCGCAAAACTGGAACTATTGTAATAATTTAAAAGGGTAATTTAACCAGGTTGGAACATTTGTACAACTACATAGGTTACCATTTTAAGTTCGAATTAGTCCTGGATGCATCAACTGAACTCTGCAAATTTTGAGATAATACCCTCTTAAGTACCCGGAAGTATTTTTAACTAAGTCAGTTGAATATTAAACGTTGTAACTTCAACTCATTATGGATTTCAGACAGCCTTATAAAGTCGATATATTCAACCATAAATCTCTTCAGACTATTAGACTTGTCGTAAATCCACGAAATGATTCCTGTCCAAATTAAGTTCAGGTCTTTTAACCAATATAGTGAAACCATATAGTGTAGTTGTAGTTCGGTTTAGTTGTTTTAAGCGATCCGTCAGAACAAAGTTTGTTGTAGTAGAAGGTTAAAATAAAGTTGTAGGCTTGTACATGTACCACGAATGTCGTCCCAGAGAATTCCACATGTTTGCCGACGCTGGGACTAGTTGGTAAAGTTGGAGAGGTGGTCAATGTATGATATGGTGTCGTGGTATGAAAAAAATGTGTACATGACTGGCTTCTGTTGGTCCTTCACAGCTCCTTGGTTGGGGTTCTAGATGATAAAATAAATTGGCTGGAGACATTAGACATGCCTCAGAATAGAAGCCAGTGGCTATCCTGCTATAACTTTTGTTTAATTTCTTCACAAAGGCGACAGTAATTTATCTGAATGAAAGAATTCTCGCTGGTTGTATTTGTTCCAATCGGAGTACTCCCCTTATTATTATTACTAGTAATACTACTATTATTATTTCACCCCCTAATTTCTATTCGCTGATCTCAATGTATAAGAAAGAATCAAAATCATGCTATGATAACTATAGGGGGATTCGTTTGACTAGTATAGTGTCTAAAATACTAGCGTCAATAATTATCGAGTGTCTAACAAAGACTCGTGAACTTCAAATACAAGAAAATCGGGCTGGCTTCAGAACTGGTTGTAGCTGCATCGACTATATATTCACCGTTCGTTGGATTTTACAACACAGATATGCTTTTCGGCGTCCGACAATCATGGTTTTTCTTGACTTAAAAGCAGCATTTGACTCGGTAGACCTCGAGATTCCGCGGTAATGTCTGTCATTGAAAGGTGTACCTCAGAAGTACATAAACCTTGTGAAGGCTCTTTACTCGAACACGACTATTCGAGTCAGAGCTTATGGCGAACATGGCCACGCGTATATAGCCTCTGCCAGAAAAGTCCTACTCACTGCCTTCTCGTGGCCGGGGGTTTTGTTTACGAAATTGAGAAAATGAAAAGCGAATGTCCGGCGCTTTAACCGGGTTTCAAATCAGTGGTGCACATGGGCTCCGGTATCCTGCGGGAACAAATGGCGTATGAACCAATCGTTGGTCACCAGCTTCCATGGGACTGCATCTCCTTACGATGCTCCACTGCCTTGTGGATCAGACCTTCAGGTCGGAGGCTCTGGGTGTGGCCCCCTAAGAAAACCACCTGGTTCGGTTTGGGCACCCGGTCAGTATCACAGCTTTCACACAAGTCAAATGAGATTTGTGTGGCGCTTATGTATTTGATGCCTCCTTGTACCAATATCTATGTGTTCAAATAAACAAATAATAATAATCATAGTAATCGCTTAGATTTGATCATAATAATGCAAATGCCTTAACTTCTTATGCTTTTCTGAAACATCAGCATCTAATTCCTTGTCGACTATTTTCTTTTATTGATCTGCATTCTTATTTATTTTACTGCCTTTATTCTGTACTAAAGATGAGTTTGGTAACTAACTTATGTGATTCTGTACGATGTTGTAGCCATATTAGCTTGCCATCTGAAGGGATAAAACAGAAATATTCAGGTTAGTTGATGAATTTCCCTGGTTTAACCCAATCGATTAGCTCCAACAATATTCGTTTCCATTTATGACTATCGTACTCAGAATCCAATCACTGCGTAAAATTCATAGATTAAAATAAGACATCCGTTTCGTTTTTCTTTATACATGCAAGATTTAGCTAGATACTACTAAAGATGTACACAAGAATATGTAGGCGAGATATCACGATAGTTAAGTGTAATGGTGAAGGAACACAATCTATGTTTGGATTATTTTCTTAGATCCTCAGAGGACCTCAAAATGCTTGAAACTAAATCAGCAATAGCACTGCATTCAGTAAGAACGGGACACATAATTAAAGTCAATCGGACAGATATCCTTCAGGAAAGTTTTAGTTCTTACAAAGAGAATTTGACACCCAAATCCCTACATATATGCGCGAACTAAAACAGTCTGAACAGACGAGACGGAGTACCTTAATAATTATTGACTGATAAGTAAATGTGAGTTTAATCTACTATTCTTTTCCACGTCATGTTCTATGAAGAAATGGCTTGTATTCGTCTTAATAGGTTATTATACTTGGATATGGCTTAAACAACCGGTCTAATTGACATAACACAAATACACACTTATTTCTTCTCATTCCATCCATGCTCTGACATGTTTGGTGTGTGACTATCATTCAGATTGACTAATCTTATTTCCGACCGTAGCCCAGGGTCGTATTTAGTCATTGGTTTTTCTTCACATCAGGTCTGGATATAAATTTATTCATTTCTTTCTTTATCACGACTTCACATTTTCAATCGTTATACACACAGTTGCTTTTTTAACCGTATTTATATTCGATATTTTCGGTCCTACATAATTTTCTCGAATCCGGAGCCGAACTGCTTAGTGAAACGTTGGAGTTGTTTCCGATCTCAACTTGCGAAAGTTTTACAGATATAAAGTTAGATGAAGAATCTTTAGCTAGAATGTAGTTGAAAATCTTTACTAATTCCTTAAGGGTCACTTGATCTATCCCTATTATATTACCAGAATACCTTGCAAAGCAGTTATTCAGTGGCTAGGACGCTCAACTTCTAACCACTAGGTCTCAGATCCGAACTCCGTTCCAACTAATCCCATCTGAACAACTAGATAATATCACTACCCACTTACATTTAAAGTGTGGCTTTAAGCTAAGCACACATATCCGTACTTAGTAAATGAGTTAATATTTATATAATATATAATGACTTTAGATTAACAAATATCCTGTTACACTGATCTTCATTTTCTTCAAAATTTGTTTTTTTGTTTTTAATAATAAATAAAATATACAGGTCAGGAAGATTATAGAGGGATTCGAGATTATTTTTTTAAAATTAGTGAAGGTTTTATATTGGTGTTTGCTATTGACGATAGCGAATCCGTAAACTCTTTGGCAACATTTCGGTAAGTGGTGTGTTTATAGAATTATATATAAATAAATATTATAATTCATTCATTTGAAATATCTATATTAAATATTGTATGACATTCACATCGGTATTATCATAGAACTACTATAGAACTGATAAGAATAAGTTCTACTCCCTTCCGCTTATTATTCGTTAAACAGTAAATTACTCTATTTCAGTTACATGAGTTTTCCTATGGAAGAATCTATTAATGGTTAATTTTTAATAGTACTCAATGCAGTGTTGGTTGTTTGGTATATTCTTGGAACTGGTATTCGATCATAAATACTTGATTTTCCCGGTTTGATATATTCATCAGAACTAAAATCACAAACTTTGAATTTAGTTAAGTATTCTCAGTCATCAATATCCTTTGAACTCACCCTATCCTCAAGGTAGTGGTAACTACCAGGGTGAGATATGCTCCTTGGTTAGATAATGACAGGTACTCCATGTTATTTTATCATAAGGACTTTTAAAGAATACGTTTTTACTCGGTTCTGTTCCTTGATTATAACTGTCAAAGTCGATATACTCTAATGTCAGTTTCGACACTCCTGCAATCAGTTACTCAAATTAAGATAACCTATTTCATTTTTACACCCGAAATTAAGCTGTCATTTAAAAACCCAGTTACGTTACCATTTGTTTTGCTGTGCTACTGTCTTTATTGTTATAAATATTCCTTACGAAGTGTTTTCAGTAACTGATTATTAAGTGCGAGGAATGAAAATAGAAGACACGGTTCGCTTAATTCTCAATATTTCAGGGCTGCTAATAGCTATGATTTATGGTCATCATAGATCCACAGAATTTGAACAGACAGCAAGTATGATAAAGGATTGAGGTTATTAATAAAATCCCTATCTTGTTTCTGATTTTGACTTATTTATTATAAGTGTCTAGATTGTCCTTTCCTTCAAGTTTACTTTGGTTGAATTTTCATCACTACGAATAAATTTGTCAATCTCATTCAATATGTGTTTAAACTCATTGCTATCATTGAGTTTCTTCAAGACTAGATTTTAGTAATTTATCTTATTCAGCCTGTTGGCCTGTAAAGAGCATAAAATACGCAATTAGAAGACTGTATGATAATATGGGGGGAAATTTTATATTCACCCACCTTTAAATTGTCGCAAAATTGGTCTTCACGTGATTTTATTCTCATGAGGATTGAAGTAGGTAGAGGGAGATTTACGTCTCTGGGTGGTCAGTTTATGACATAGCTCTGTGGTACGAAAGAGAGCTTAATGACATCTCTTAGACTATCATGATCACATGGAATTGTAGGGATCATCCAAACCACTGGGGTTACCGTTGTACTTTTCTACTAAATTCTCCAGAAGTCACTCATGATCAGCGCAGAACCTGTCAAAAATGTGTTGGCCAAATTTACCATTAGCGTACCTAAACTACGAGATAAAATCAACTAGATGAATAACAGAGAATACCAAATAATATATTCGCAAAGGTAGTGAAGCAAACTAAACTATAAGGGTATAGTTCAAAGAGATAGAGCCGAAATAGATGTATGAAGGAATACTCTTACTCAAAATGTGGAGGAAAATAAAAAGTGTATGTATCCGAGACATTGTGGTTGATTCTGAGACATGTCACCTAAAGACTTCAACCACGGATTAGTTATTTCATGGACCTCAACCAAGTAACATGCATCTGTCAATATGGTTCAGTCCAACAATCGACGATTTCATGTACTGACACAACGTTTTTTCAACTGTCCCTATCTTTCTTCCAACCCTCTTAACTGGAAGAAATTCGTCTTAGCTGTATTTCCGATTACACTGCATCTTTTGCTGAATACTGTTATATGTTTATTTACTTTATCTCACGACTCTTCCCTATTCCTTTCACTATTATCATTTCATTTGTTTGTGACATACATTTCGTGTGCCTTTTTGTATCAGAATTTGTACATTATTATTTATTATTTATTTGAACATATAGATATTGGTACAAGGAGGCATCAAATACATATGCGCCACACAAATCTCATTTGAATTGTGTGAAAGCTGTGATACTGACCGGGTGCCCAAACCGAACCAGGTGGTTTTCTTAGGGGGCCACACCCAGAGCCTCCGACCTGAAGGTCTGATCCACAAGGCAGTGGAGCATCGTAAGGAGATGCAGTCCCATGGAAGCTGGTGACCAACGATTGGTTCATACGCCATTTGTTCCCGCAGGATACTGGAGCCCATGTGCACCATTGGTTTGGAATCAGGGTTTTCCAACTCCCCTACGTGGACTCATCATGTCCACCAACCCAGTAAGAGCACCGGACATTCGCTTTTCGTCCTCTCAATTTCGTAAACAACACCCCCGGCCACGAGAAGGCAGTGAGTAGGACTTCTCTGGCAGAGGCTATATACGCGTGGCCATGTGAGAGCGTTTCAAGAGGGAGAGCGGACTCTCTCCACTCTCGGCCGTACCAGGGCATTTGGGGCAGACTATCCGTCAATTAATATCTCTCTGGCTAAACAGTTAAAAGTCTACTAGTTAGGCTACCGAATGATTATTTATCTACCATTCTCTGTTCTAAACTCACAGTGCCCCCAAATTCCCTGGTACGGCCGAGAGTGGAGAGAGTCCGCTCTCACATGGCCACGCGTATATAGCCTCTGCCAGAAAAGTCCTACTCACTGCCTTCTCGTGCCGGGGGTTTTGTTTACGAAATTGAGAAAATGAAAAGCGAATGTCCGGCGCTTTAACCGGGTTTCAATCAGTGGTGCACATGGGCTCCGGTATCCTGCGGGAACAAATGGCGTATGAACCAATCGTTGGTCACCAGCTTCCATGGGACTGCATCTCCTTACGATGCTCCACTGCCTTGTGGATCAGACCTTCAGGTCGGAGGCTCTGGGTGTGGCCCCCTAAGAAAACCACCTGGTTCGGTTTGGGCACCCGGTCAGTATCACAGCTTTCACACAATTCAAATGAGATTTGTGTGGCGCATATGTATTTGATGCCTCCTTGTACCAATATCTATGTGTTCAAATAAATAAAACTCACATTTATGTTTGTGTAACAGTTTTGAGTGTAATCAACTTTCCTTTATCTACAATGCTGGAAATTATCATAAAATGTCAAATTAAAAATGCGGTTAACAGTTAATTGTTAGATTTTGTATTTGTATACTCTTTAACTTGTACTTTTGTGTAATATATTGCAGTGAGCATATTCTTCGTATTAAACAATCTGACCAAGTACCAATGTTAATTGTGGCTAATAAATGTGATCTAAAAGGTTGTGTTCGAAATAATTATATCAGTCAAGGCAAGCAGTATGCAGATGATTGGCATCTTGACTTTATCGAAACTTCAGCAAAAACATACAGTGATGCTGAAAGGGTAACAACTGGTCTACTTTTTTAATCGTAAAGATAATTGTCTTTAATAATAATAATAATAATAATAATAATAATAATAATAATAATAATAATAATAATAGTGAAAATTATATTTAAAATAAACTCTGCGATCGAAGTTTAAATAATTTCAGCAAACTTGTCTGGACTTCTTCAGGGTAGTAATCGAAATCAAAATTATCAAAAAGTATATGATCAAGTCAAATATGTACTAAGTGCTTATCCAATCATATCCAGATTTTGACTTTGGTAAGTAGGATAATATGAGTCGGTTATTTGTGAATCATACGAAAAGTTCACAATGTAAAGATGAATGACTGATTGATTGTGCTTGTGTAAGTTTGAGTTATTTATGGTTGATATTCGGTATTAATTTGTTTTTTATTTGAAGTAAGAATAAAAGTGCAGATTGAAATTGTTTTCAAACTATCGATTTGCATGCAAAATGAGAATCATCAAATATATAACTGTAGTGCTAAAATATCCCAGATTAATTTTTGTCGAAATAACGATGCATGTGAACATTTGCCATGTGGTAGCTAGTTGCATACCATCTTTTCTGTTCAGGCTGTTCTTATTGGCCCATATATACAGCGCTTTTGCTGTCAATCTTTCTTTATATGTATTAAAACTTTTCTGAAGTATTTTGGTCCCTTCGAAATTGATCTTGTGCTCTGTTTCTAACACATGTGACGATATCGCCGACCTATTCTCAAGTTCCTTCAGATCGTCCGAGGATTTGGGACATTTTTCAAACATTGTGTATGTTCCTTCAACCTCACATTCAGTTGTTTAGAAGTTTCTCCCATCTAAGCTGTATTACAATCATGATAGTTTATCTCATAGGCAACATTCTGTTGTTCTTCCTTTGGGAACCTATCCTTAACTTTAACTAATCCCGATCTCATGGTGTCACTAGCCCGAAAATACACTTTTATATTATGTTTGTTTATAACTCTCTTAATTTCTTATGTTTCTTTACGATATGGAATGATCACGGTTGTCTTCCAATCTTCCGGTATTTGCTCTAATTTAGTTTTTGTTTCATTTCTAATAATCTTTAAAAATTCTTTGGGATATTTGCTAACCCTAAGCGTAGACAAAATTCTATTCAATTCAGCCTGTTGGTCTTCCTCCTCTATAATGAGATTAACACTCCTGTTAGTCAATATTTTTTACAACCGACTTTCGTACAATACTCATGATCCGAACCAATATTCATATTAATAATAATAATAGAAAAATCTACTTATTTTAGTGTTCAAGGATATTCTTTGCAAGCTTACACCCATCATTAACCCGGTATGTTTAAACTGGGCGCCCATAATTGTTAACTTTATTCATCATTCTAATGCTTTGAAAGATATTTCGGTTTTTCGTATTTCAACGAAACTTCTCGTTATTGCTCATTCAGTCAAAGTGCAACGTATAACTTGGTACATGTGCACGTTGGTTTGATTTGACATACCCCATTAGCTCTGAGAATTGAAATTTTCAGAGAAAATCATAGTAGTTGAGATAGTAACAGTATTATTGGTTGTAGAAGGGAACAAACTGTTGCATGATATACTCGTCCTTTGGTCGTCAGACGGATATTTCTCCTGTGCCACAAGTGGCGCAAGTTGGTAGCTGTCAACCGGGTTTTCTGAATTCATCCCGATATTTCATCAGATAGCAACCCACCAGGTTGGTTGAGGAGCTATAACACCAAAAGCACTCATGGTTCGAGGGTGGAGTTGTACTGCTACCTGTGTTGAGATGTGACATCATTACAGTGTTTCCTTAAGGCAATCAGCACCTGCAAAGATGCTGCCTTCTTACATAGAAAGAAAGAGATCATAAAACATTGACGCTAAAACATCTCAATTTAATCCACGTATTACCGTCTTTGGCGGTAAGGTTTTTTTAAATTCAGAGCTAGCACATCATAAGCTTCCTGTAAAAAAGACTGTGTGATCAACCTCTAGCAGTTGTCCATCAGGCTCTGCTGTTACGCTTCCAGGTTGTTATGACCACCACTAACCCAGTTTTCTCTTCAGATCCCTCAATAAGCAATATCCTTCCACAGTATGGGCTACCGGGAAGTGACAATCGCCCTCATACCTTTAATGGCTCTAGAGATCGTCTTATTCATGATATTCCTTCTATCTCCACCACCAACTCTTTTATAATATTTTCCACATACACCATCAATATTAACTGTTCGAGTTTACGAGATGTTGTTTATGGTATATTGAACCTGCGCTTCCGATGTTCGAACCTCATGTCAAATAAGCCAATAGGCTCCCTTATATTAGACTCTAGAATCTTGTACCATCAATATATGCTATGTCCCTGAAACACATATACAGGACCCATGTCGGATCATTAACCTATTCTCACATAGTCAATACAGAAAACCGGCTCGATCTACCTCCCGTGTATCTGGAAATTTAACTGCCACCTCTTGTTGCCTCTCTGGTGCATGTATAGCACTTAGCTTAGAAGCGAAACTGGCTCTCGTAAACCTCTTTCCTATGGAGAGTTGTTTGTACTTTGTCCGACTAAATGGGGAAGTGGGAAGACAAAGGTGGGGACACACGATTGCCTGTTCATGTCTCCCTACGCTTGTTACTACTATTGATTGGGTGGTAGTCTCTCAATAGGAAATTTGACTAAAAGTTTGGAAAATGAATTTATACTGAAGTGCGCTGTATTTCTGTTACGAAATTGTCCTACACATCAATACAATTATACTTGTTTTTCTGTGATATCATTCTTAGTGTTGCATGAACTGTGATCTTTTGTGAAGTATGTATGTAGTTGGCATTAGCAAAACTTAAAAGGCTTTCCCTTCTAGTTGGGAAAATTTTCTTTACGCTCCATGGTGGTGTACAGACCAGGAAAAAGCTTATTTCAATGAAAATACGAAAAAATATCCAATTCTTTTTTAAGATGATGTTCTCAGTCAATCAGCTACAATATAGGACCATGCACATATGCATTAGTCCAAATTGCCACACCTCATTAGCACAATAAGAGGAACACGGAGTTCATAGAAGTAGTTACTTCAATGGTAGTAATATATAAAAGAAAGAAAGAATTAGTTGATAGAAAGAAAGATATGAAGCAATTTTAATCTCTTAGTTTAAGGGAAGACAGGGAGTGTATACACCGACGCCATTGTGATAGATTCTGAGCCAATGTTAACAAGAACCTCCAACCATTGGTTACGATAGTCACACGGACCCCAACCAAGTAGTCTGCATCTACCAACATGGCTCAGACTAGAAGTTAGCAACTTCAAGCACTGATGCCACGTTTTGGTTTGGCCGCCCCTAACTTTCTTCCAACCATCTCCAATACTGGATAGCATTGCACGTCGTGGTAATCGGTATTCAGGCATACGTAACACGTGGCCCAACCATCTCAGTCGATGAAGATCCACAACCTCATCGACTGATTTACCATCATTCCCTGATACCCTGTGTCTAACCTCACTGTCATAAGTGATATAAGTTGGCAAAAGCCAAACGAGCTTTCTGAATCTGTACTGAGATTTCGTCAGACTGACCAAACTTCCAAGATAAGTGAAGTTATAAACGTGTTTGACTGCTTCACTCCCTATCCTTAGTTCAGGTATTGACGCAGACCAGTCCTGAAACAACAACTTGCATTTAGAGGAAGAGAAGAGCATTCCAAACATTCTGGCATTGTTGCTTAGTGCTACCAAAAGACTGCATTTTATCAGCGTCTTCACCAAACAGGACTATGTCATCTGCGTATTCTAAGTCGATAAGTGGATCTCCTGGAAGGAGATCAATACCCGAGAATTCAGCCGACGAGAAAGTTATTTCCATCAGTAGGTCTATGATGAAGTTAAACAAAAATGGAGAAAGTGGACAGCCCTGACGGACAGCACTTGAGGTGATGATCTATTCGTTCATAACCCGTCCCCAGTTTACGTACCATTTCTGTTTGCCAACACCTTTAATACGCTTGTTAACTGACTTTTCTTTTTGACTGCATTTTTACAAGGTAATGTACATGGTTTTCGATTAAATATTAAAGCGCTTATAGTTATATATGGTAACCACTTCACTCCGTACTCTTGCTCGATAATTCCTATTAGTCAACACTAGATAATGTTTACTCAACAACCGAATTGATTACGACCAAACGTTCGAGATTATGAGTATAAAACAAATATTGGCACCATTTGTAACATAAATGTTCATGTAGTTCATTAGTTAATAATAGTATATTTTACTTATTAACCATAACCTGAGCTATTACTAAAGTGTGATAATCACAACCACTACAACTTAAATCTTCAAAAGTTTGTTCGCCATAAGCTTGCTATAGGGACAAGCTTGAGCAAACCGTAAAATGGCCTCACGATTTTGAAAACATTTTCTGTTCATTGAGAAGTTTATGTAGATGAAAAGAGTTTTAATAGAGATATAAATTATATACAGTTTTCAATGCTTATTATCGGTTTTCCAATCTTAATACCATAAAAAGTATTTCTATATAACCCCAATGATCTGAGTGAGAATATATTCACGTTTAGGGTTTTTCCGTAAATCTTTTTCACAACCATAAACTATTGTGTGGAAAATCCATCATGGCTTACAAAGTCGTCATTCATAAATTCACTGGAGTAACGAAAGTAAAATTATAAGCGAAACATCATTGTCACATCATACCAATCTAAAGAAGTTATACGTAAAAATCATTATCCATTTTAGCATTTTTATTTACTAGTTTGTTTTTTATTTAGTAGAACGCTAATAACAAATGATTTCTGTATGAGTTTACTCTAATTAAAATAAACTGAATTAAAAACACTGATTCACATCTTATGTTAAAAAAATTAAACACTTGGTACGTCTACTCTATGATGACAAAAAGAAGATTTCTTAACAATCTTATACGTTCAGAGCATTACACTATGACATCTCTGTCGTGTATTTTATATGATGAAAGGTAAAATTTATTCAGTTTTCGATTTCCCGCAAAAAGTGGTGAGGAGTTTTTTTATATTCTGGTTGTTTTTATTCTATTATTTTGTCGATTACTTTTAGAAAGATAATAGAACTTTAATTCCATTCATAGAGCTAAACGCGTTCGTTTAAGCGAAGTGACGAACTACATTCAATGAAGTCCTATATACATACATACTTGTGAATAATGGTTGTTAAACTGATGTCTTACTACCTTGATAAATTCTACATATTATGTCACAATCAAAATAGATTATCATAAGGAGTCTTTATTAAATTATTTATTCATTTAATTTTATTTATATTTCATTCATTATACAGGTATTTCTTGAAATTGGTAAAAAAATTCGTGAATCACATATGGCCAGTATACAATATCCGAGAAAAGTGGAAAACTACAAACGAAGAAAAAAGTGTACAATTTTGTAAAGATCAGCATAAACCTGTACATCTTGATGAACAGTTAGTAAAGTGTATTTATCTTTTCATTTCTTTCTTGTCAAACAACCCAAGTATCACACTGAAAAAACATATTTATCATTGCCAGTCATAAGTACATAGTATTATTTTCAAACAAGTGATACATTAAGAGTATAAACTGTATTCGTATAACTGTAACTACAGTATCTAAAGTCGGAGCTGTTAATCGCGCGCACGGACATGCAATATATATATATATATATATATATATATATATGACAGCTGTGCAGTCAGTCAGTCAGTTACAACGTAGGACCAGGCACAGCTATGCACCAAAAATATAGTTCACATAAAATATTTATGTTTATACTGGGATATTCTCGGGAGCTTCGAAACCTTCGACCTAAAGATCTAATCTGCAAGACAGTGAACCAACGTTGGAAGGTGCTTTCCAGTGGCAACTAGTCACCAAAAATAGGTCTATACACTATTTGTTCCTTCATGATCTTGCAGCTTATGGGCACCAGTGTTTTGTAACCACAGTTTTCCAACACCGTCTGGTGGACCCACGGTAACCACCAACCCAATTTAAGCAACAGATGTTCGCTTTCCATCCTCTCATTTCCGTAAATAACACCAATGAATAGGACTGTCCTAGCAGATTATATAAACGCACGGCTTCGTGAAAACATTTCGAGGAGAGGAAACTATCCCCAACATTGGACGTACTATAGCATTTGGAATCATATTTATTAGATTTTAATATTTCTTATTTTAATGCATATGATCATAAGTTGGTTGATGTCAGTTGAAATTTTTTTAAATATTTTTAAAGTTCTCAGATTCGTGCTCCATGAATTCAGTGTAGAATGTGAATGAAAGCAAGAAATATGGGAGGACATGTAAAAATTTTGTTAATCTCGTTATCTCTATTTTTCAACAATTGATCAAATTTTATTTTTAGAATCTTTTTACGTTTGTTTTATGATTTCACTTTTTCCTTCTTTCTTTTATTCTTTACCTTCCTGTCGTATGTGTGCATATGCTTGTTTCTATAAAAGTTAATATAATCATTGTTTGTTGTTTTTTGTTCTCTCAAAGAGGAGGGGGTCAGGTTGGTTGTCCCACTTATGTATTTGTGATTTTTATCCCAACTTAATTGATGAAAGTACACTCATCATCAAAAACAGCCGGTGTGATGATGTTTCGTATTTTTGAGAATTCTTTTCAAAGTGTTTAGTGTATTTATTTATTTCCTATCGAATTAACACAGTTCTTTATAAATGTAACTATATGTACAAATTTATTTATCTATTTATATTCGTAACTAAACACATTGGCGATCATAAAGCATTTTGTTTACCTGTTGTTATTGTTTTTACACGTTCTATTCACGTGATTTTCTAGGATTATAATTTTAGACAAACTTTCAAATCAATAACTGAAATTAATTTAAATGTACTCCTTTCCGAGTTGGTTTTTGGTTTGTTCTTCATGAGTATTTAGGAAATTATCTTTTTCGCTTTTCCTTGTGTTTGACACCGAAATTGATTTATATTGTCTCAGATCTTATTTGTTTGTCACAATGCGTATCTTTTCTATATGTGGGACACAGTCTCAGCAACTGTTCGTCTGTTTTTATTTAGTCTTATATATTAATTTATGTAAGATTCACAAGTTAATCACCTTCCCACATAAAGGAATTCCGTTAATGCTTCACACACTTGTATAAGTGTAATAGTTCGATTCTCCGAAATTCACTTCTTTCTTTTTTAGTACTACTCGTGAGTACCGTTTCTGTCTAAATGTTATTGTTCATTCGTTTTTTATGTTCTGTGATTCTCACTTTTTCCATTCTTTACTATCATTTCAGCTTCTGGATTGCTCCAGAAAAGGTGCTCTTTTTGCTTCTATGTTTCTACCAATACTACTAATACTTCTACTGAAGCAGTGCAAAAAAACTAGATATTTGATCAATTGGTAATGCTTAGGTCTTTGCAATGAATTGGTGCTATTGATATTTTTCTCTAAATTTGACATAATATTATACTAGATCTGTGTATGTATTTGTGTATAACGGTCTTTGCAAATGAGAAAAAACAACACAACTCAATAGGATCACACTCGTTTTGAAATGTACTCAATAATGATGATGCCTATCTTTGATATCGTTGCGATTTGTATAATGTACTATATATATATATGGCCTATGTACCTCTTAATTATTGTTTTTTTATTTCTTCAAGATTAATACACTGAAATTGCTAGATAAATAATATATCGTTTTTTTACAAATTGTGTTACTAGAGAATAGTTATCGCCAAGTTTACAGCATAATTACACTAGGTAGATATTGCCGCTATTTGAATGTATCTTATGGAATGGAGTATAAATATTAGTTGAAAATACCTGAGAATTGTAATGCAAATGATACTTTACTAAGTCATGAAATTTCCATGGAAGGTGCATAAAGAACTATGATATTTGGCCAATATTTTTAAAACGAAAAAGATTTGGGAAGTTGTACGGTGAAAATGAAAATTACACTTGACAGTATATATGTGCTTACTTATTTCTAATATCACTATTTTGTCGGTCTAAACTTGTGTATTCTTTTAGTTCATGTTCTAATCGTACTCTTTAATATTTGCTTTTTAGTGTAGAAGTAGGTTGAACAAAAGCTGAGGTGGTGATCAAGCCAAAACAGACTACTAGCCCATAAAGTCATTGACTGTTAAGGTGAATTGTGTGGGGTGGTGTTGATTCCCTGATCAGGTACAATGTAATATTCATGATCAGTGGTTGTAGATATTAAGTGACATGACCCGAAATCGGTCTTAATTTTCCAGATGTTATTCATTTCTTATCTCCTCAGATCTTATACCATCATTTCCATTTTTCTTCATATATAACCTTAAAACAATTCAGAGAGGTCATCCTTTTTCAATAAATTCATTGACAAACATATTAGTTCTCAGGTTTATTTAGATATTAATTCTTAGCAAATGGTGATATTTTTCTATTTAAACGGACTTTTTCTCAGAATAATATAATATAGATGGTATAACTTATGTATGAAATGTTTTTTTAGACAATCTATTGCTATTAATAACAAGGTTGTGTTTATGTAAGTTATTTTCTTTAAAATCTGTAATATTTTCTAAAACATTGCAGTGTTAAGATCTAACTGAATATTGATATGTAAATACTTATAATTGGAAGGTATCATCCTTTTGTGTTAACTAATTATAGATGTGTACTCTGTCATATACACCAAATCAAGGGATACTTATTTTGGAATTGTATTGATAATTTCTGTGTCCTTTGGTTCGTTAGCAAAACAAAAATTAACTATTATAAAAAATAACTGATATACATTTTTCGTATAGCTGGAATTTAGATTGAAGCTTTTTCTCACTGGTATTTGTAAACTTTAAAGTTACATACATTTTGAAACGCAATTATTAACCTTAAATATGATGAAACTGTTTTAGCTAAAAGATCTACTGTGATATCTCATACTACGTGTAGAGCAGTTGCATGGTCGTTAAGGTGTTCGACTTTCAACCTCTAAATCCCGGGTTCGAACTCCGCTTCGCCTACTTCGGTTTGGTCAACTAGGTAATATCATTCGAGTGTGGCCCATACCCTAGTATCTGGTAAATGAGCTAATTTAATCCTACAAAATTGAGCAGTTGTCCAATCCTCAATGGCTTTCAATACTTTTCTAGCTAAGATTATGTGGCAAACAACCGTCTCAAGTGGAAAAACTTAGTGAACCCTGCTTTATTAAGAACAATCATCTTACAAAAGTAAATTCATCCTTCTAATACATTTGTTAATTAAATTGTTTTCAGTTTTTCCCCTATTACTTCTAACTTATCTGTTAAAAAGAAACTCCTTTACTAATGACTTATTTGTTGATACAGTTCAACCTTCCATCGAAACAAGATAATTTATTTGTAATATTTCTCAACGAGTAGAAAAAAAGAAGACTGACGGTTCACGACTTAGTGTAAGTTACTGTTTAAGATCTAACTAGAGCAAAAGTCTGAGCCAAATTTATTTGGATGTTTTGATCGAATTCTAGATAAAACACTTTAATTTTTTCACAAATGTTACTAATTATCATGTGTGTAAATTGAATCTGTTAATATTAAACATAAAATTGTACTGTAGTATTAATTTGTTTGACCAAATAGTCACATTGCAGCTTAATCAATAAGATTCGATTGAAATTAAGGACTGGATAACGTGACATTAGTTATTGTTGAGTGTTCTATCAAATATAAAGCAAGTCATAATTTTAATGTTATATTATCTGGCAAAATGTTTCATAAAATACGTGATTCTAATTCAATAACTGCGACCATTTTTTGTATCATTAATGGTAGTCCCACTACTTTGAATAATGGTTTACGAATTAAGTTATTTCCCGCTTTTAATTATTGGGTCACAGATTTGAACCAAGATCCGCCTACTTCGGTTTGGCTCCTGATTAATTTCACTAGTACCTCACACAGCTAGTGTTGAGCCTGTAAGTAGTAAATTCGTTATATACATTGGGTCAGATTTTTCAGGATCAATCACAGTGGGGCAAATACATCCACTCCTTAACTCCCGATCTTGAGTTTCAGTATTCCTTTCTTCACAGGTTTTCATTCCATCTTTTCAAAACATATTCTCAATGTGTAGTATGTACGACTACAATTGCTACTACATTATTTCTACTCGTTTGCCATTCATTTTACCAATTTTATCGCATCGTGCTAACGCCGTGTTGCAGCTTGGAGTAACGTACTTTTGTTCTAGGCTCTATGTTGACTATGTTTAACTAAAATCCCTTACATTATTTTGAATTTTAACACCTACGGGAACGACAATATTGGTGCATAAGAAAAGAGCAAACTTTGGTAATAATTAAACACTTCAAAAGAGAATATAAACATCACGAACAAATAATGTATCTAAGTAACACAGTTTATGATTCGACATTATCAAGTTTATTTTAGGAGAACGTTTCCTGACCAGCGTCTAGACGATTGGCTATTAGTTGGAGAAATTCAGCTGTTTGCTCTAATAATTTCACAAATACAGTCCCATCTATGTGCTGTACATGATAATTAAATAGTCAGATATTAATAAATTCACTTACTTGTTGAGAAACAGAATTCAATGAAGTAGGAATCTCTTCGTCAAAATTTACAGGAAAATCATGACTGTTGTTAATTTTCATATTGTCATCATTATAGCTCATTGTGTGAGTGGTAATTTGTGGATCAACCTGTTGGAGATGAAATTTATGTGATTGTGATTGATGATGAATCAGCTTGTTTGTGTTTTTAATCTCTTTTTCAGTGGTCTCACGACAACCAACCATCGGTGCTGCTTGCCCAATCAACTTATTGTTTTCTGTGTTCTAAAATTATCATTGTTCATTTCTACAGATAATCACTCACTGAAATCATATTGTTTAAATAACTTTGCTCTTTCAGGTAAATAGTTTCAGCCAAACTGGATGCCTTTCCAGAACTTAGATAACGTGCACTCATTCTCACATACGGTTCACCATTCCTTCTTTTGGCGTTACGTCTGCATGCTTTCAGATAAGCGCATATTCTTTCACGATGAAATGAATCACTGAATTCAGGGAAATTCCTCTCCAGTACGCATTTTAGAATATCCAGTATATACTTTGGTTGGTGTGAGTAAGTGATTTTTCTGTCGAGATATTCATCAACTAGTCTACGTAATAACAGCTTATTTAACAGAAAAGAGAGGAAAAGCAAGATTACAACAGTAGCACTTACATTGTAAGTAATCTCCCTCTCAGAATACTCTTTCCTCTCAATACTCTCCTGATTGGAGATTAAGTATGAAGTCAACTAGATTGACTTTAATTTCCTACATATTTGAAATACCATAGTGTCCTGCTTCATAATCTCAGAAAATTCATCGGTCTCTGCAACAGTGAAGTAATCAACAGGACCATTGCTGCTAATATCCTTTTTGAATATAGATGATAGGATTTCAATAAGCCAAATATAAACTTACAGAACTGACAGAAATTATTTCTGAATTTTGGTTGTTATTATCATTGACATTACAATTATCTTCTTCTTTTATAATAGTTTGTATACTTTTTGTTAACAGGGTAGAATTATTTAAATATGACTTTGCTTTGTTCAAATTTAAGTGGTGATTCTCCATAGTTTAACCAGTGTCACTGTAATAAATAATGATCCAGTCTTAATATTTCAACTAAATTTATAAATACAAGTCTGGTGGAATAGGATCGAATTTAAGTAATATGGGTAATTTAAAATAATCAATTCTTTTTTATGTGAAATATCATCTATCTATTGTGTTGGGATGTGTTACTGCTAAAAATCGATTGTTGTATATACACATATTAGAATAGGTCTGTATGTTTATAACATGTAGAATATTCTGGAAGTGATATTATGATCAGTAAATTGTGATAAACATTCGTTTGTTTCGATAATAATAATAATAATAATAGTAAGATAGAAATACAGAAATGTAACATTAAATGAGTCATTAAAAGAAAGAATATTTAGCTACAATTTACATTATGAGTAATAAAGCTACATAACATACATTTTATATTTTGTTCTAATTAAATGAAATGTGAATACAACCTATTGAATGATGTGTATTACATCAATTACGCTTCAAAACTGATGATTTGATCGTGAGTCATTTTGACTCAACCATGTGATTATGACTTAATAATGACAGAGGAATTTTCTTTATCTTAAAAATATTCATTCTGTTAATGATGAATTAATAGTTCATTTATAATTTTGCTTTTATGTTCCTCCTTTTAGGTAATTTATACATATATTGAAAAGAGCAAGGACAAAGATTCTAGTAGAATAGCATGAATTCATTTTATTTCGTAGGCTCTCGTCAGCTGCTTACAACCTGTGATAGTTAAAAATCATAATTACATAATGGGTTTAAATTGCTTACTGAATATTGTAATGTCAAAGAATATTCTACAACAGTAATTGTGACAACAGTTCAAAAGTGGGTTAGAAACAATTGATTACATAATGAATAAACATTGATAGGAATATAGTGATTAGAGTTCAGTTGAAAGATAGTTGAAAAAAATAAAATAAAAGATAAAGACTACAACTTGTCTTGGACTATGCCATTGAATGTTTCCAACGATAGATGA